GCCGGTGCTGCGGGTGGGATGTAAGTGTTCTGTGGAACAATCGGTTGAGATTTAACAGCTTCATGAATTGGCGCGGGAGCTGAGTAGCTGTAGCCCTGAGCTGGCGCAATCGGCTGCGAGCGCACAGCCTCGTGCACAGGCGCAGGATAATTGTAACCACTGCCAAGGTGAGAGACATCAGCAGCGGCAAAAGCCAACAAGGCAAAAGTGGCGGCAACGAAGAGTTTCTGCGGGAAGGACAATTTTTTTTATTATTTATGTAAACAAAATATTTATGTTTTGAAGGCATATGAAATTGCTTTTGAAATAATTTTGTTCTTCAATGTTATTTGTTCTTAATTCTAATGTTTTGATTTTATTTTTCTTTTTGGAAGTATGTAAGTATGTACCATAATATCGCATATAAAATACCATTTATTAATGTGTTTTTTTTTAATTTTTTTGTTTTTAATAGAAACTATTTGTGAAACCATTTATTTTTATTATGAATTTTACAAACAACATTTAGTGTAATATTTTATATATTTCTTTGTTAATTTTTTTATACTCATTACATTATTTTTTTTTTTTAATTTATGTTTCAATCACTTTTCTTTTCCTTCAAAACTTATTTAAATTTTTTTTACAATTTTCTCCTCTTCCAAACAAAAAATGTTTCACATCTCACCATTTTGCTGGTTTCTTGAATTGTTCGCAGCACTAACGTAGGACTTGGATTACGTCCAATTAGTTTCGCCCGCGCTTATTTATACCAAAGAAACATCCGTTGCGTAAATTCACTTAGGCGCCAATTTCGATTATTAGTCACAGTAAGACGCCCATAGTCATTTGCATAAAATGCGGAAGTAGCATTTCTCATTTGGCAAAATCATTGCTGTATTTGACTTTTTTGTTTTGTTCTTACTACGGAAAATAGCTAAGAACCAAAAAAATGCGGAAAGCAGATGCTCAAAAACGACTTAGCGAAATTACCCCATAAAGGCGATTCTAAATTGTTTTGATGTTTACAGTTAAATGGAAAAAATTGTATGTTTATATTCTATGCTTTAATTATCGATTCGCACTATGACTGATATATATATACATATATATGTATAAACACATGTCTAAGTATATACTACGGATTTCTTTCGTCGTTTTGTCTTGGCAAACTTGTTTAAGAATTTAGTTATTAATGCCTTACTGTTATGTTACAACTTTTATGATTCTAGATTCTAGTGTGCCCTGCTACTAATAACATAAGCTTTGTAAATATATTAAAAATCATAAATCTTTTGTTGGCAAAAAACGGCGCAGTCCGCTGTACTGTAGTAGGAACTCGTCTTACATACAATGTCATTTCGCTATATACATATTTTAAAAAAGTAATAAAAAAAAACTTAAAACTCATCACTAGCTTCTACTCACTATAACAATTCTGAATATCTAAAATGTGATGTTACTAATAAAAAGCTTATTGCGAATTCACAAAGCCATTGAGATCTACCTAAAGAACCCAGCAGAAACACAACACAGACGAATTGGTGCAGTTTCAGTGAAGTCGATACTATAACGAGCCTATACATTCCATATTCACGACCAATAATGTACAAACTGTCAAATGAACTGATGAAGTATTATTTCGACTTTAAAAAAATAACTGTTTAGAATACCGAAATTTATTGTAAAATTGGTAATGAATGAACTCTTTAAGATCAATCGGAGAAAAGGTCGATAAAATAATGGAAATCTTTGAATTTGGCAACAGCTTACCATGTGGAAACTTTAGTTGTAGCTGAAGAAGCTCAATGAATAGATTCCACACAAGTTAATGAGAAATAACTTCATAGACGGAATTTCCATCTGCGAATCGGCAAAAAATCGATCCATTCTGAAACGGATGGTTGCTGTTGATTAGAAGCGGGTTACTTATTTCTACGGCAACATCAAGCGAAAACGGTCGTGGTCGAACTAGCAAGGAGTGACAGTCAAGAAAGTTTTGCTATGTATAAGACAGGATTAGCAAGTAATCATCTACTATAAGCCGTACTCATAATGCTAAACACTTGAATCGGACCTGTGCTGTCAACAGTTGTACCGGCTCAAGGAAACAATCGTCTAAAAATGACCAGCTTTGGCTAGTGAAAGAGGAAATATGTTTCAGTAGTACAATGTTTGACCATACGCATCGATAGTTATGTTCCGGGCATTTGGGTAGGGAGTTCTTGTGCATCCTCTTTATAGTATGGATTGAGAGAATAGTTGTTGAAAAATTCGTAAATAGTATTATTTTAACTATGCAAAATTTGTTGTTACCTTCTATTGTCTTGAGATATCTACCGAATTTGTTCTATAAGCCTATTTTATTGACTACTCGAGAGGTCGTTGTAATCGTTGTAAGGAGACTATGCGAAAATAAGAATCGGTTTTGTAGTACAAATAACATCATTAATCTTTCTACTAAACCTTGCAGTATTAGTATACAGAAAGAAAGAGCAAATATCTTTATGTAATTTATAAATTGTGATCCATTTCGAAATTCCTTACTTTTTTAAATAAAAAACACAGAAATTTCAAATTTAATGGAGAATGTTTATTATCCTTCGGAATAGCTATTTATTTTTGAAGAGATCTCTTTCAAATATTGGCCCCAGCTACGTCTCAAATGGTCTGTTCGCATCCAATTTTCGATGACTCGTTCGAACTTTTCGACTAGTAACTGGCGAATGAAATGTGCGATGTTTTGCTCCAAGATCTGATTCGAAGCGGGATTGTCCGCATAGGCTTTAGACTTTGCATATTCCCATAGGTTCCCCCAAGACGCCTAGCGGTGTTATATCACACGATCTTGGTGAAACGTGAAATTATCTGCTCACCGAATTGATTTTTCAAAAAATACACCGTCTAGTTGAAATCAAAATGTCGCCGAAATCAAAAGCTTCAATTTCATTGTACGATAATGGTCGCCATTGACGGTTACGTTCTCACCAGCATGGTTTTTGAAGAAATATTCACCGATGTTTCCACTACAAACCACACCAAACTGTTTTTTTTTTTTTTCGAGATGAAGTGGCTGCTTTTACATCACTTCAGGTTGCTTCCAATGCCAAATGCGGAAATTTTACTTGCTTATATACCCATTGAGCCAGAAATGGCCCTCATACGTGCTGAACAAAATTTGAACCGAAAATGTCGGAAGGTCGAGCGGCTTCACTTCTTGCGCAAGCTGTATTTTGTACGCCGGCTCGACTCTCCACGGTCTGCATGTGCACTCTCAGCTCCGGCTGCTATATTTTCTTCAATGCGTGCTGTACGTGTTCTATTTGGTCGTATATTATCCAAATAATGAATGCTGGGTCTCAAGATAAGTGACTCTCTTATGAAGCAACCATTCGTAGTGAATCATAGAGAAGCTCTAGTGCTACTCATAATGAGACCAAACTTTGTTATAGATATTTTTATTTAAAGACCGCTGTTTCACTCTGTAAAATAGCGTCTTGAATTCTCTTGCTAACTGAATAAAGAAATCTTTAGAGTATCTCAACAACTCAGGCA